GCTTCCACGCCCGTAGGAGTTGGAGCCCAATGCAGTGACCCACAGCGCTGTGGTCAGCGCCTGCGAGCGGGACGGGCGCCTTGGAAGAGCTAACGGAACTCCTTCCGCCTGGTGGGGGGGGGTCTCGAGATGGTCGACCCCTTTTTGGTTGGTAGCTCAACTCGAACTTCCAACCAAGAAGGGGTTCACCATTTTGAGAACCCCACCAAGCAGTTAAAGAGAAGCCAAACGGAAGCGAATGGTTTGTCGGGGGGCACTATTGTCAGAAACACCCAGGCGAGCGCGAGAGATCCATGTTGGTTTCCTCAGAAGCAACAGTCAGACGCCCCCTGACTTGTTTTCCAGATTTGGCACATGAGGGGCTTGGAACACTGTGTATGCAAACAAAAACACTTCCGTGATTCGAAACAGCATGGCGCATAAGTTTCAGCACCCAAGCGGAAGGTTTAGCTCATAGAGTTACACGACAGAGAGGGCTTTCGCTGATTGAGCTCAAAATCTTTAGATCCGCAGAAACCTTCCTTGCGGCTAAGTGAGACAGTCCCACACTGGGATAACCATGGATAACCCTTTTTTTGCCTGCAGTTTCGTTTTGCTTCCGCCGAGTTATATGGTTTGAATGATCGTCCTTGAAGGAAACCAGTCTGACTGAATGGTCGCGGAACACTGCCCATGAGGGTGTCTTTGTTCAGGAAAAACACGCAGGCGGCACCGTACATTGCGACCACCCTGCGTGAACCTTGGCCCATCCTCCCGAAATACGTGGGTTCACGAACCCCTGCGCGAATACTGAATGTAATTTGGGAACGATTTTGCGGAACCTGTTCGGAGAACCCTTCTTTCTCGCTTGGGTTCGCAGAAGTGTGTGTGTGTGTGTGTGTGTGCGTGCCTGCCCCCCCCCCCCCGTCGTTGTTGTTTAATTTGTCAATCCAGTTAGATAGACATCGGGACGATTGTTTTGAGGGAAACAGCATCCTCCCTCCAGTCATGGAAGTTGAGCAAGGCTGATGCTTAAGCGACGGCTGCAAAATCCCTTTGTCGGCTTCCATCGTTGATAGAAGGCTTGTTGCTCGAAGCATCCCCACTAAATGTGACTTAAATTGAGCCCAACTGCGGCACCCTGGAACCACCCGAGTCTGCGCATCAGTGATCAATCGTGTTGCGTGATGAAGATCACGCAGTGTGATTTTCAGACGTTAACTTTTGAGAAAACATGATTTGCACGTGCCGTGTCAACAAGTTTCCAACGCACATCAACGACAACCAGTTCAATCATGCAAAACAGGGTGGTGTAACTCATTTTTTGCCAAGCACCTATTGCATCCCCCGAAATTATGCACGATCGACTTGGCATGCAAGAGCACTTGAAAAACGTTTGTCCTCCGCGCAACGTTAACTCCGCAATGTCCCGCTTGTCCAGGAGAACCTTTGACTTTCAGAACACACAGCGACAGGGTGAATAACATTACCTGATGTTCTTTCCAGAGTTGTGATAAGCGCAATCTCCTCAGAGCTTCGGTGAACGTAGAACTTCGCTGGTATTCAGAGAGCATAACCCACTTCTCCTTGGTTCCTTTCCAGAAATAGAATGATTAGAATGCACATCCTGCGCGTCAAACTTTTTCGTCGGCTGAAATGAGCTCAATTGCTGCAATGCACGAAGTTGACTTTCTGATATTTCAGTGTCGCATTTTTGGGATCCAAGGCAAACTCCGGCTCCCCCTCCCCCCCCCCCCCCCCGGCGCGACGTGAGGCTTCCCCCACTCTGCCCAAGAGACACCTCCTCGCCCTTCGCTTCGCTCAGACTCTGCGAATTAGTTCTGTGTGTGTGTGTGTTTTTTTTTAGGGGGTATCAAAGTCACAAACTATAGGGGTGTTTCCTTGAATTGGTGATTTCTCTAAAGGAAGCCAACAGAGGGAACGAACACATATCATTTTCCAGACATAAACCACGTCTGGGGCGACCGGTGAAATGGGAAGCGATGCATCTCAGGGACCCCCAGGGCGCCCCTGGATCGCTGTGGGGCCTCGAGGGCGCCGGGAGCCGCGCGCTGTGCCGCGCGCTGGGAAGTGCGGGAGCAGGCGAAGCGGGGCTTGTGAGCCAAGTCCTCCCCTCCGAGTGGTGCTCTGGACCCTTCTCTTACTGGTGCTCCGCAGGAAATGACCGAGACCGGGTGATGGGAATGAATCGGATTGGTAATCCCCTTAAAGGACACCAGAAGGGATGTAGGGCTTATTCCCTCATTCTTTGCTGAGACCCAAACTGCTCTGCAAATATGGGCGAACCTGGATTTTGGGGGTTCCATGTTCCGTGAGGAGAAACCCATATTTGTGAGTGTTCACAAAAGAAAGCCCAAACAGGATGGGTAGTTTTTCATTTGTCCATAGTCCAGACCCTCTACTCAACACCAAGTTCTGGGATCACTTAACCGCCAACACAGCGACACATTGCACAGAACATGGCTTGAACACACAATTCCTGATGCTCGATCATGACGAAGGCTGTGACATCCGTTTCAAGGTTGGACAGTTCCTCGCTTCTTCCACACACCAGAGCAGGTAGCACGAAGTATGCACAGGCAGAGACTGAGATCAGCCATGAGCCGTAAGTGTCCTTCTAGCTTAGCTAGGTTCAAGCAAGATGATAATAATCAAGCTTCTCTCACTTTGAAGTGCCTTTCAGGGCTGTTGTACTGGGAGATTGAGTCACTACAGCAAACCTACCCCAGTTTGGCACCATGGATTAAAAATTGTATTCAATTGATGTCAAGGAAGACAGCAGGGTTGCCCATGTCATTTAGTCGACATACAGCGTCCAGGACTTTGTTGCTTTGGTCTGGTGCTCCTTGCTTTAACCTTGCTGCGAGATGGCACATTTGGGTTGCTTCACGGTGTTTGGCGGGCAGATGTGGTCCTGGCACAAATGACTTTCACCTTGGCACTGTGGAATTGCTGCTGCTTGTGCGGAGCAAGCATCCTCCGGCACTAGTTCTTAGCAGTGTGCCTTTTGTGTACAGACACTTTGTGATATTAGCTCAGAGGCTTTGACCGTATTTGCTACCATTGGTTGTCTTCAGGCATTGTTCAAGGTCAGTTTCACAATGGTTTTAAACTTGAATTCGCAAAAGCAGAGCAAGTCAAGGTAAAGTGCACACGTGGATTTTTGAAAACCAATGCTCGACAATGGTAAACTCAAACCCTGCTTCACAGGCAATTGCCCTTTCACGAGCTTCCGTTCCCTTCTAGGCCAATTTAAGGTGGGCACTCCTGCTTAGAGTATGCAGCGAGAAGGTGTGTTATCTCTAGGGATGCCTCTCTACAACGGGTTTCCAGTTGTTTCCGGTCGTCCACCGGGTCGTTTTGACGCACAAAAGAGGCTGGAAACAAACTGGGCCGCAACCTTCAGCTGGCTGTGCGGCAAAAGCAGCCCATTTGCGCAACCGAGCTCACAAGCGTGTTTGTCCGTTTGCTCACAAGCGTGTTTGTCCGTTTGCTCGCAAGTGTGTTTGTCCGTTTGCTCACGAGCGTGGTTGTCCGTTTGTTTGTTTTTGCACGCGGGAGGGCTTTCCACATTGTGAGTCACATTCAGTCTATGTGCACAGATATTAAAGCAGCTGCCTCCACGAACAGGGGAGGTGCTTGGCATTCGGCCTTGTCAAGGCCATGCGTCGTGCTCATGGATTTCCTTTCTCCTTAGAACGACCAGGCCTTTGTCTCGTCCCAAGAGAATGACAGGTGAGACCACCTCCAGCTGCCTCTGCGGAAGTCGATTGCTTCCAAAGGCGAAAAAAGGACGGCTGACTGACTTGCCAGGCGATGCTTTGGCGTATGCCAGAATTCGAGTTTTGTGTATTTCGGCTTCCTTTTGAACCTGAACACACATGGGTTTTGGTGTTGACGCATGTCCGCATGGCTTTCAGACATCGGCAATCCTCAGTACTGGATTCGCGTAGGCTGCTTTTAGAAATGGTCCTGACTGTGTATCAAGATTGGTCGAAAAGGTACCTTGAATGCATCCGCTTGTGGGAAGTAGTTCACGAGCTGACAAAGTAAAGCAACGTTAGCCATTCTGATGCTTTCTTTTGGATTTCCTTTCAAGAACCCTTGAAATGACCGAACCTTTGATCAAGGTTCAAACAAAGAATTACCATACCCTTCCTGGTTTCCTTCGAAGGGAAACCGACAGGACAGAAGGTTGCCAAAGCACTGGCGGAGACATGTTTAAGCTAAGAGTATCACCCAACTCTGGAGTGGAACTCAAACTTACGGGTTTACTCAAAGTAATCCAGCGCACTTGCCATCGAGCCTTTTTTTTGACAGATATATGGATTCGTTAGCCATCAAACATCTGGACTATGCACACAGAGCTTCCCTGACAAATGTGAGTGGATTTCTAGATAACGTTCCCTGGCTTTGGGACACCCCACCTATCCGGGCCCCTAAATAAAGGAACACTGGATGGCTTGACGTAGGATTGTGAGGGATCAACCTAAACTTTGCACGTAAGATATTCATTCCCGTCGCAGGAATCACCCTGTATAGCAGTGAAGTCATGATCATATGCTACTCCGCTGTTATTGGGGTCTTCTCCAAAAACTATGTTGTATTTTTGAGTAAACTAAACGCAATCGAGAAATAGTGTTTATGTGTAATTACCCCCGATGTGGGGCAAGGTGAATGCCGGGTCTACGTGTTAGGTGTTGCCGAGGCGACTTTATTTGGTTTTTGACCTCTTCCAAATGACTGCAGGATGCATCATAGAACAGTTCACGGGGCCCGTGATACTTATTCGATAGTTCCCTCCGCTTCGGCATCCCTCTGTCCTTAATGGCCTGAAAAACCGTCAATAAAAGTCACTATTAGGTTGCATGGATGTTGGTTTGCCCTTTCAATCAACCCCGCACAAGGGACCCGTACTCTGAAACAAGTATAGAATAGGTGCCGGGGTTCCTGTGGCTTTGAATCAGGATATTGTGGGCAACTCGAAAAATTGAGTTGAGGCAGTGGCAGTGGGCTATCTCCTTGCTGGAGCAAAGCAGGCACCGGCTTGCGGGCCTGTACGGTTTGGTCCTTGTATGTCCTTGTCCAAAAGGAGCTTCGTGGGCGACCTCAGGTTGGTCTTCAACGGAACTTGTCACCCACACAATGGCTAGTTTCCCTTTGGTTTCCCTTAACACTAACCCGCATCCTACAGAAAAGACACGGATTTTGGTGGCGATCTCATTAGGGTTCCTGCGGGGCCTTTTGAGCTATTGGTGAATTTCCAACTTCGGCCTTCGTGTCCAGCTTCCATGGCTGTAGAAGTTAAGTCTTCGCTTGACAGTCCCGATCCGGGCCCCCATATCAAGGCCTCCCGCATTCAAAACCAAGCCCCGAACCCAAATAACAATCATGCAAGCGCCCCTTGTAATTTATGTGTGCTTTTGCGTACCTTCTGTTTCCACTGGGGTTGGGTTTCCTCTTGCACTTTTTGGATTCGTGTGTCGGCCGGACATTGCTAGTCCTCGGCGGAATAATTACACTTCAAAGCTATCAAATGTGGCGATGCGCAACAAAGTTTGTGCTGCGTTGATGCTGTTGGCCCGGACAGATTTATTCCTAAGGTTTCATTTAGTTACGTTCAACCCAATGTAAGGTTTCATTTAGTCACATTCAGTCAATGTTTGACATATTTGACCAGTGACCGCGTTGCAGTCATTCATTCGTCAAAGAGTCCCTGGGAGGTGGGATTCCTTTCTTCCTTGATCAAGAACTACGGCATTACTGATCAGAGCTCGGCATTCATATGTTGGCAAATGTACAGGACCTCCATGTTGTTCCTTTTCGTCGCTTTAAATGTCTCGCCTTTTGCCTTTTGGGCGCATTTAGATTAAGTATCCTATGCAAGATGTTCCATTGTGAAATAGAGAAACCTGAAGGGCAGACATCACCAGCTTAGACCCCTCAATGGCACGCCAGCATGTGCAACAGGACTGTATGACATTATTCAACCTACCTTGTTTGAAATAGGAGAGGGGTCTGAGGATACATTTTTTTGGTGTTTAATAACCTTGTGCGCATGAGTAGCGAGCATTGTATCGGGCCTTGCATGTTGTTGTCACCTTCAGCACCTTGATTCAAATCTTCGTAGACATTCGAAATATGCATCATGCAATCGGGGGCTAAAGCAATTGACACTCCGTTTTTGCCGTTTTTGCCGCCTGATTGACGCTCAGTGCAGTCGGTCTCTTGGTCTGTTTTGTTGGGCAATCTGCTGGCAAGCGCTTGGCCAAGTGTTGCCGCGAGTCTTGAGAGGCCCGACGTGGTCACCTACAATGCCGCCATGGACGCATGCAGAGCTCAAGCCTTATTTGGCAGCTATGAGGCCTCTGGCACCAGCCATCCATGCTACATGGTTAGAGAAGCCTTGTCAGACCTTCAACTGTGCAGGCTGGACCTTCAACTGTGCATAGTCATAGCTTCCGCAACATTGTCACTACATCGCTTAGCCCAGGGGATGTTTACAAGATCCTGTATTTCGTGAACAAAAAGGGACGAATATCAAGAACATACAGCTTATGATGTTTAGAGGATTTCGTCACATATGCACACAGCCGTTTGTAAAAGCTCCGGGCAACCCGATCCCCTAAGTCAGCCTATTTGTCATTCTCTCCGAGACTCCGAGGGCCAGCAATGGCAGCGATGCCTGACTTTGCTGAATGTGGAGCTGCCATGCTTTACGGGGGTCAGAGGAACAGGGCTCCGCTTGCATTGACCCAGGCCGAGGTTATTTGTAGCACCTTCGCAGCGCTTTGCAATTCGTACCAAGCACCATGAGGAATGAATTAGCAAGCTACTCAGAAGGGGTAAGGCTTTATCCAAAACCCTCCAGTATTTTGTTCATGTGCGAGTAGCTGTTGCTGGCCGCTCAACTTGGAGCTTAGTTGTGACCAACATTGGGCAGACTGAGCCCGACCAATTGCCCGTGACGCCAGACTGAAGCACGCACCGGCTTGGTCTTTGAAAGTGGTACGGTCGCCAAGCGATGTTCCGTCCGGTGAGGTCCACCCTAATTTTCTCTGTTTGATGAGCTGTAAAGCTGTAAAGCTGTAAGAATCACCCAGTGAGAAAGTAGGGCATGGTGGGTCTCCCCATCAGCCTCGACTCCCGACTCCCGACTCCCCAGCCTGAAGGAGATGTTTCACAGCGTCTTGTATCCCAGCATCATCTCCTACAACATTGCCGCAGCCTTACTTTCAGCTCGGGAAATGTCATGCAGATTCTTGAACACACCCAGCCATGGCGGCCGGTTTGGAGGGACTGCCAAAGGCCGTGTTATTTTTTATGGGATGCATGCCCTTCATGCCATTCACTTTGAGACAACAGTCGCCCTCAAAGCCGATATCCCCGAAGAAAGAGAGATTGTGTTGGAAATGGCTTGATGGTTTCTTTGCATGTATATGAATACCTGGTTGCCGACCAATCCGTTGTGTTTGATTTCCTCAGATGATTTCCTCTGTTTGTCAAACCACCTGGGGATGGATGTTGCTTTGTTCTACATCTCCTTTTGACCCGCCGGAGGTCTTATCCTTGGGCGGTTTGAATGGACTTGGAGATTCAACATCTTGTTGAACAAAAAGGCAAGCCTTCATCACGGCTCCCCCCTGGTTGGGCGAACCCCACCTTCCTGTCGGGCAAATCGGAACAGGCCGAAGCCAACGAGGGGTATCTATCAACCTCACCAACCTGGGGCTTCCGACCGACCCGTGATGAAGGTTGCTTAACAACCCCTTGTTTTCGCTTGCGGATGATCTCAATCAACCCATTGGAGCCATGAACACCGAATGGGTAGATGCCGGTAAACAGCAGTCTTGACAACGAGAGCCGCTTATCCTTTGCCCTGTTGCGGGGAAACTAAAGGCATGGAACAAGGGCATCGCCTTCTGTCTCGAAGGTAGGTAGAAATGTGACCCCTTGTTTTGCACTTTTCAAGGGGCAACAAACAGGGTCCCGAAAAAGGCTTAGCGTCTTTAGAAGCCTCAAATAGCGTCGGTGCTCGGACATCTTGGACCAAAGGGCCAGCAAGTCTGAGGCCATCTCTTCCTGCGAGCAGGGGCCCGGAGCCAAGCCGTATGTGGGTCAAGCCTTGGGAAAATGGGGTATGTATTTTTACTAGACGAGAGTAGAGCAAATGAAAGAACCCGGCCTGGTGTTATGGGATCGGCGGATTTCGCATGGCTCCATTTTTGTTTGACCTCACGTTTGGGTGTTCAATTCAACCGGGTTTCTCTTAAGGGGAATTGTTTCAGCGATCTTGGTTGGACAGCTGTGAGGGATCTCGCAAATTTCTGCTCGCAGATTGACGGCGCCTGCTTTTCTCGCAGCCGGGTCGTGGTTCAGGGGAGGCCTTTTTAAAACAGAAATGGGATGGCGGGCCTGCTGGACAGCTGTGCCGCGGACCTTGTCGAGAAAGACACAGGTTCTGCTTGCAAAAAAACAAGCAGGAAAGCTAATCTGCAGAACTATTTTGTCGAAGTTCAGAAGTCAATTTCTGGAATCACGCGTGAGTTCCGCCTGACTCACAAGAACCTTGGTCGAAGTTCCGTATACTGGTGCTGAAAGCCAAAGTCCGGGATGTGGCACAATATGGTCCCCTGGTTGGACCTCAAAGCTTTGCATCTCCTGGATGCCCTCAATGACCCCATGTCTATCATCGACCGGAGCAAACTCTCTGGGCAAATCACAGCGACCTCCTGGGGGTTGTGAGCAGTTTCACCCGTGAAGCTTCGTTTCTCGGGGGTCCAGATCTTATTCCAGGCTGGTCAAGTTGAACGTCGAGACTGGGCCCATTTCGCGGGAGCATGTTGTTGAAGGGCGCAAGGGCCGCGCGTCTGGCGTGATGCCAACAAAATTTGGGGCAAAACGTGTGTAACTGCTGCTGAGCACGAGCAGCTGCTGGTTGGCAACAGACTGCTGCAGCAGGCGCGTGCACTGTCTCCTCTGTCAGTGCGTTATAAGGTTGGAGCTTTGCTTGTACATCCTGCATTTCCACATTGGTCCAACAATGCAGCACAGGTTGCGAGCATTTGGCGCATTGATGAAGGGCGGCGATTGCTCAGAGTGCCGGGTATCCGGGTCATAGACATACAGCAACAATGGTTGGGGCAGGATGCAGTTCAGCCCACATCACTGATGTTTTGCGGGCTGTCGCTGCTGTCTCATTTGCTTGAACCTTGGCGGTTGCCTGCTGAGAGACCTGCGCGTTCCAGGCAAAGTCGCGGTTTTCACGAGGGTTGGGCCATTGCAGCCGTTTGTGGTAGGACAATTCGTCTTACAACCCCCAAGGTGGCCATTGCCGCTTGCCGATGACACCATCCGGTTTGTTGAGGCGCTGAGGCAGTGCTGCGATCCGTATGGAGGTTTTGGGTGCATCGGAACTGCGCAGGATGAACTGCTTCAGACGCATTGCCCCGTTTTCTTGATGAGTTCAGCATTGATGGCGCGTCTTAGTGGCTCGGAGCCAGTTGAAAGAGGAAAAGGAGGAATGAGTTTGATTTGTCTTGAATGCATCCCTTCAAATTTGCGTGAAACCCAAGAAATGTCCTGCAAACCCGACAATGTCCTCTATCATGTGGCTGTGGGTCAAAACCAATGGTACCATTTTGGGGTAGGTGCACCACCCATTTTAGTCCATTTTAGTGGGGATTCACTGGGGGGAAGGGCTTTTGACCCATGGCCATGTATCCTAGACAAGCTGCGGTGCTCACCTGCCACCTTTACAGATTTGGTGAGCGTATTGGCTTAGCCGGGAAGCCTGCAGCTTGAGGCAGAGGTGTGCGCGTGTGCGTGTCTTTGTTTGGTTTGCCTCCGCTTTCAACAAGGGTAGAACGAACACACACCAAGACAACTCTTCGAGCTGTCATTGGCTGATATTTTCCTGTTGGATTAGTTTTAGAAGGAAGAGCCGGTTTCCTGTTGCAAAGGAGCACGTGTGATTATTCCAAGCACTAGCCGACGCGCGCTGGCTGCCTAAATTTGCTTAAGCACACTCCTTGAGAGATTGGCGTGATTCTTGCTTGGAAGGAGCCAAGCATGTTGCGGCAGCCTTCCATTGATTTTGTGGTTCGGAATAGTAGTTGGCGGTGTTGCTTTGGATTTTCTACCTACCGGGCCGTGGGGGGTCTCATATCCGAGTTTAAGACTCAGAGAAGTGTCCAAACTCGGGAGGTCTCCTGATGGTCTTTGGAATTTCCCGCGTTCGGAATTTGGCGTTTTTTTTTTTTTTTTTTCTAATATGCACGAGTTCCTTGTGGACTCTTGTGGACTTCAGAGTCTCATCACCCGGGCGTTCCTTGCCGGACCCGGACGGGATGCCAGAAGCCCCGACCATAGGCCCTGGCAGTTGGTGCTGGAGCTGCTAAAGGATCTGAAGCTTCAAGGCGCCACCGAGTCGAATCATTCGCCTAGGTTTGCAGAAGCAAAGCTGAGAGGAAACCAAACCGAATGTTGGAGCTTGAAAAGTTGTTTGTTTGGTGGGGCATCAAATTCCTCAGCCCTAAGTCTAACTGTTTGTTGGCGGCTTCGCAAAACCACTTAAACGGGTGAATCCAAGCAGGGTCCCCTTTATCAAGGTCTTTGAACTACAGGCGGCTGGTTTGCATTTGTTTTTGGCGCGGAGGTTTCGGGGTGAAGCATCATGAGTGACCCTTGGTTTACTTGCCGCATGCCCTCTCCGAAGTGCTGAAATGCAGTCTCGACCTACTGAGTGCCTTTTGCCTAACATGATGTTTACCAACCAAATGTTCTATCAGCCGATCTGTACTTGATTCAAGGGCCCTCCGCTTTCTCTGGTTGCTTCACAGATGTTCCCATGACAAGTTGCGACGACGCAGTTTGACCATGTAAGCTATCGTGTCTCCAACCATCAAGACTTGGTCTTAAAGAGTAGTGTTGTTTCTGGCCTCCCAGATACTGTTCCTTGAACACAGGAGGTCCCTAAATTATCGACAAATCATTGCTCCCGGACGTGTTTGTTTGTTCTCAGAGGCCGCCTTTTCTTATTAAGAGGGAAGGGAGTGATTAATCAGTTCGGTGTGACGCTCCATCAGGCAGCTGAGTACCATCATTTGTCTGCTCGTTCGGTGAAGTGAGTTGAAGAGGGGTTTTATACCAAAAAAAAACATAGTTTGTTTGTTCACTGCAAACGCTCTGTAAGAATCACATTGTGCTTGTATGTCGCTTGGGACCTACCTCGACAAGGACTCTTTCGAGGTCCAAACCATGATGGAGACCCAGACCCCTGGAATTAAGAGTTCAATGCTTGGGGCTTCAATGACGCCTCTGATTTACATAGGGAACATCTGGAAAACGGTTGGTTCGCAGACATAAATTCCCCTTAAGTCTAAATGATGTCCAGCAAAGGCTCGCCAACTAAAACTCGTTCGCCAAAAAGTCGGGGGCAAGTCACAGCAAAGCGTCGAGCTGCGCAGCTAAGAATAGCTAAGGCCTGAAGCCTCGCGCCGACACCTTGAGCGCTGCCATGCAGGTGTGCTCCAAGGCGGATAAGCGGAGGTTTGCTTTGACCATGTTCCACAAATGGGTGGTGTCCTTTTGGTATGGGTAGTTGTTGTGGATGGTTCACTCACTGGTGCAAACAGGGGCCAAGTCTTTACGCGATTCGAATCCAAATCAAGAATCTGATGATTTGTGGATGTTGTTTTGGGGCCTGTGAAATTCGAGCTGGAAATCCTTGTGTAGGGCTGCGAAAGGATTTGGTTCTTTATTTAATAATTTGGGGCAGAAAGAGCTCTCTAGGCCTCAAAGCGGCGGATCTAGCAAGTTCAGATGTTTTTGGGCACGCAGCCCTCTTTATTGCGCGAAACGTGTCGGCGTGGGGGGCTCGATGTTTGACACCCCATGTGGTGAGGCCTCTGGTGCTGCTGGGTTCAAGCTCCATTCGCACGGGTCTCCCGAACAAAGAACAAAGTGCAGACGGTCTTTGCTCTTTCATGTGGGCTAGCTTCAGAGTCTGAAAGTGAAGATGTTTGCGTGCGCAGCTTGCAAGATTGGCTTTCATTTGCTTCGGACGACTTTTCTTTGTGAGAGGTTAGTGTTGCAATCCGCCACGTAGCTCAAACACCGTGACATGGGTAAGATGTCAGGATTTACACTTGATCCGTACCTTCCCATGGCTGATCTACTCGTGTTTACATGCAAGCTCGTGTTAGAGCCCTTGACGTATCTCTTTGTGATTGCCGTTTGCATTGTTTTCCTTTTGAAATACAGGCTCGGTGAACCATAATGCACAGTTTCTGGCCAGCTCACCGATCCGGGGGTTAGACCATGATGACTCAACGATGAATGTCCTTTCAAGTTGAGTTCCACAATATGTGCATGTTGTGAGTTGTCTCGTGGTTTGCCCAGATCTTCCAGAGAGCCACAACCAAAACCTAAGGGAATCATCATGCGCACTGGCACTCATTATATATATATATTGGTTTCTAAATGGAGGGGCCCTCAGTTTGTAGGCGTGTTTGTTCTTTGTTGTATGTTCCTCTGTTTTTTTCCTAAAACCCCCTGTAAGGGTAGCCGAAGTCGCCAAAATCAGGCGCACCAGGCGGAGATGGCCCTGAACTTGTTGCCAGGGTGCTGAGCGACGGGGTCTTGGGAAAGGGTGATGGAGACTCCAGGGGTCCATATCCCATTTGCCGACTTATGTGGGTGTGTCTTAAAACACGGGGACCCCTTCAAAATGCGTTGTCCTTTCGGTTTCCATTTAAACCCCAAACAAAAGGGTACCACCCAAAAGATGGTGGTTGTCCACTCTTCACGCAAGACCCACAAGAGTTGGCATTTCTGGGTGCAATCTCAGAATCGAGCTTTCAAAGAGCCCCGATGTCCACAATAAAAACCAGACAACAACAATCCTTCCCCTACCATGACTGGAATATGTTGATTTTGTTGTTTGTCATCTTGTTGGTCCACAGGTTCACTGGTCCATTGGGCCATTGCTCCATTGATCCGGGATGAATGTTGCGCAACATCAGCAAGGTTGCGCAACAATTGGGAAATGTTGCGCAACATGTTGCGTGATCAAACAAGAACAGGAGTCCTCGCCCCTGCCATACCTGGGATGATCTAGTTGTCCAGAGCTCTTGGACCTTTTTCCGGCCTTGTTTCCCATGTCGCTGTTGCATGAATGCTATTAGATGGTGTACTTAAACGTTTCAGCCATACTCTCAGATGGAGAAAAAAAAACCTTTCAAGTGAATGTGTATTTAGTTCCTGCACCAGCTTCACCAAGACCGCACCAAGAGAAGTAGGCCATGGCGAGCCGTGAGTTCAGAAACCGAAGAATTTGAAGCCAACTGCGGTCAGAACGTTGCGATGGCGGACTTGCACCAGATTGTCCTTTGAATGTGGGCGCTAAGCCGACAAGGTTTGCGCGAAAACGTGGGAGTAGCCATCACTTTGCCTCTTTGGGCGTTTCACCTTGGCTACATCTCGTGCAACCGGTTGGGGCTAAAGTCAAGGTCTTCATTTGTCGCTTTGCACCGGGATCTTGTCATACAGTCAGACGTGGCTCGCCGGGAGCATTCAAGTCAACGCCGTTTGTGCGACAGCTGTGGCTTGAGGCTTGACGGTTGCTCTTTGTTTGCCCTGCAAGCGTTCAACCTTTTGGCAAATCAGTGTTTCCTTAAGAGCTAAAGTTTTGCCGGTCCAAGATTCCAAGATCAACCAAGATACCAACAGTTCGTTTCCAAAGTCAAAGAGCACCCGGCCATCGGACCTCGGATCCCCAGCCCAGGTCCGAGCTTCCAAGAAGCCCAGCCAGGCGACCCGCAAGCGCTCGATCCGCCGCGCGCCGCCGGCGGTTTCGACTGGAAAGTCCTTAGGTTCGGGGTGCCAGAAAAGATCGCGTTCTGGAGCTCGACCTTGGGGCGGATGTTGGCTTGCTTCTTCCGCAGCCTGAAGTGGCTTGCTTCTTCCGCAGCCGAAGTTGGCTTTCTTGTGTGGATCTAGTTTGTCTAGATGGTTGCTTGTCAGACATTTTATATACCCATTGTAAGTGCATACTGTCCACCTCATATTTAGACCCCCCCCCCCCCTAAGGTCGTACGGAGGGGGGCCTGTAATTAGAAGCTTCCGGCGGATCCAGGAGATTCCTTACCTGGCTGTTGGTCAGCGCCTTCGTTCAGTACGACTTTTTGTGGCTGGGTAAATCGCAAGGCCTGGCAGGTTTGGCTCCCTTAGACAGTGAAACTCTAGCGGCTCTTGCGCGCTCCTGAACAAAAGCACTTCGCAGCCGCGGGTGTTGCCTGTTTCGCTTTCAGTCACGCACTAGGAGCTGAGCCTTTTTTTGCGATTTCCTGGGCCAAGCCGGATTGTGCAATTACGGGGGGGGGGGTTCTAAATACGTTCTGGGATTTGGATTGTGCAAATACGCGGGGGTTTCTAAATATGAGGTCAACATTGGGTCATGCCCTTTGTTGCAAGGCAAAGCTCTCTGGGCGTCCCTGGCTTGACTACGCTTCTCACGAAGTTGACGTCCTATTTGCCACTCAGCAAGCTTTCTTGTTCTCCAGTTCATGCCCAATCTAATGTAATCCCTTTACTAGCGAGTGTTTATTCAGTTTAATTTGGCAGAAATGGGCGAAACTGGTTGAATCCATGAAGGATAATTCAAATGGTTGGAACCTTGACAAACAATGTTGGAGCAATAGATGTTAGACATTGCAAGTAAGCCAACCAGAAACCTGCGAAAGCATACCAGACTTGTCCCTCGGCGTGAGTTACTTACAATCGGTTGTTCAACCGAAGAAACAAGAAGAGATGATTGCACGCATTCCACCAGAGTGGGGATGTTCCTCTTATTGTTGAAAGGGAAGACTTGAGGCTCAAACCAGCAGGCACAGGGTCTCTTACCTCAAATCGATCCGGAGCCGCTCCCAGGCTGTTCTGGGACGGGATCCAGGGGTAGTATCACCATGGGCTGAGTCCGAGTCCTGGCGGCAGGCAACTGTTGGTGGCCCACAACACCGCGTTACACGCCTGCGCCGGGCTTCTTAGCCTTGCTCTTTTGGCACTGACAAAAAGGTTTGGGCAGTTCAGACTGTGGATGAACAAAATCCTGCCACAGGTGGTAGGTGGACTATCCCAGTATTTCCAGGGCTTCATCTATCCCAACTGTTGGAGATTGTCCATCGACAGGGACTGCACAGCTTTGCCAGACTTAGCTACAGTTACCGGTTTGTCCTGTTGCCGTCCTTTGATTTCTCGGGAACCGCTTATCTTTGTGCAGATGGTCTAAGTCTGAAGCTCTTTGGCCTGAAGTGCTCAGAGATTGTGCCGAGGATGGAGGCATTTCTGTGACGGTCGGTTGGCCGGCTGGGTGGTTGGCTGGTTGGTCGGTTGTTTTTTTGTTGCCACATGTTCTGTTGTTTGAAGTTTCGAATGATTGCTGGCCTTGTTTCAGTCCATATCTTTTCCCATGCATGCCCCAGCAAGGGTTAGGCTAAGTATTGCTTTCTGTGTTATTGACACAGGTTGCTTTCAATAAGGAGGTTTGAGAGAAATTAGGCCGAGCCACAGTTTGGACTTGTCGGAAGGGAAAAACAAACAACCATCTATTCTGAGATGGCAAATCCAATCTGACTTGAAATCGGTACCCTCCCACCAACAAAGAAGCAATCGCGCAGGCCTCTTTCCCAGGGCCAAGGAGGCCCTTCTGCTTTCATGTCCAAGACCTTGCAAAGTAGCTTGGGCATGTGCCGAAGAAATCCGGAAAAGGACGGCCCCAAACCAAACCAACCAAAGAAACGGAAGTGGTTTTGACAGGGCTCCGCAGAGTTCTTCTGGTTTTAAACATATTGCGGTCCCATGAAAGGTGAGTGTGCCTTGGGTGGGGTGATGCCTCGGGTTTGAGGCCCGGGGCCAGCTGTGGCTTCGCAGCCTGCAGCTCTTGGACCAGATGCTGGGAGCCAAACGTCCAGAGAATTCCTCCCCCAAAACCCTGCGTTTCCTTGTGTCCCCTTGTGGTGGGGTGGACACGTGTCAGGTTCCCATTCCTTTTTTGGTGTTGCTGGTGACCAATAAACAAAAAAATGTATCACCCTGGCTGCCTTGCCAGTTTAAAGGAAGTGTCCTGTACGGGGATGCTTAAAGGAAGCATAGGGAATCCTCCCGAAACTGGGCGTTCTTTTGTCATTGTTGTTACAAGATTTACTGAATATGGTCCAAATTCAAACCAACTGGTGGGGCCAAGAATGAGTTGTGGATACCAATTGTGGGGTTGCTTTAAAAGCGCAGCCACACGCAATCCATTTGGGGTTTGCATTCTGGGAGTTACGAGTTGTTTACGTAGATCTATTCAGCGCAGGGATGTTTGAGATTGGTAAAGATGCTGTTCGAGCCGGTGCAAATCCAGGCTTCCCCTCAACTACCTCTTAAATCACATCAGTCTTTCCATGTTGGTTCACTTTGGCCCTAAATCCAAACAACGTGTTGTTGGGGCAAAGGCAGAAAGGGACTTCCCTCTGAAGGGGTCTATGGGTCTTTCTGAACATGTTACCCTCTGCAGGCCATAAGCATGCATGCGTATGTGTGTGTGTGTGTGTGTGTGTGTGTGTGTGTGTGTTAGCTTGTGAAGCGAAAAAAGCTTCCGTGGATCCATCGGACGGAGTTCCTGATGATTTCCTTGACTTTTGCCCTGGTGTCCTGGTGTGCTGCTAGGTTTTTGATCCGTGAGTTGAGGTGTAACGTGGATTGCTTGGGGAGCGAGTGACAGAAACCTATCAATCCCATGATTTTTTTATCCAGTGAATCCACTGTCTTGGCTTATGAACATGGGGTCGCAATTGTAAGGTTCTACAAATTGCCCAGAAGGAATGCGTTGCGGGTGGGGAGAGCTATTTGAGACTGTCGCACGACCATTGTCCAACATCCTCCTTTAGGCTTCCCTTTGCCCAACCAAACTGGGACTTTGTGAAAGGTAACGGCTGGTCGCAGCCCTACTACCCACCCACAATGATACGAACATTGTCGTACAGGCTTGGGATCCCTGTCAGTGCCAAGGGTTTGCTAAGGCTGTCACTCTGGAGCACAGATTCATCTCCAGTATCAGTCAGGCAGTGGCCACTTCTTCTTTGGCGAAGCATTTTGAATTGCCCAAATGCATTGTCTCCAACTGCCGAAATCTTCAAAATGGGTTTCCCTTTGGTCTCCCTTGAAAAGCCAGGACAAAGTTGGCAAAGCTCACTCGAAGTCCGTATCCATCACCGTTGCTTTGCCCGGAAGTTCTTGCCTCAGGTCCACTGTCGCGATTACCCCGGACGTGCTTTCCTTCACTTCTGCCGTCACTGCGGGGCGTCCTGGGAGACGAACCAACATTGTCAAGGTGTGTCTTGCTTGTACTCCGCGCAAATGGACAGCAACACAAGGAAAGCTCTGCCCTTCAACATAAGATGTTGGGAAACCAGGTTTCCACCCGTCAAAAGTATTGTTCGTTGGTGAGTGCGGGACCAACCACAATTTGAATCGCTGGGCAACAGAGTGAACGCACCAATCTCTGCGAGTTTGGTGCTTGGAAACTGGGGGAAGAGAACATGGGAAAGCGGAGGCCCGGACATGATGCGTTGTGTTTGGCCAGGTCGTTCTGGCGCTTCACTACCAGTTTTCTTTGAACAATGAATAGGACACTGCACATAAAGTGCTTTGGACCTTGATCATACGTATCTCATGTGAGTGGAGCAGGACACGACAGTGTGTGCATATACTCAGCTGGAAAGTCTATCTGCTCAGTTGAGAATAGGGCGTGTGGGCAAATCTCCTTGGGGGCTTTGAGGGAAAAGAGAAGGAAACCAGGCGTTTGTACGCACTCCCAAATAGGCGAAGTGACCGGACCACCCTCCAAGTAAATGCTTGGCGAGAGGAAATTAATCAAGTATGTCAATGAGAGAAGCCCACTCTCAGTACCAGTCGCTGTTGGCACCAATCAGATTGCCCGACCAGAAAGCACGGCCTTTTTCCGTTTTTTTTTCTTTTTCTTTTTTTTTAAGCTTTTCAAGCAAGAGGCTTCAAAATCAGTCTTTGTCACTTGTTATATCACATCATGAATAACTTTAGGGTGAGTCTGGTTTGTTCACATCCAGTATTTGTGCCAGACGGATTCTCGGTCAGCAGCGTGTCAATCTTTCCCGAGCTCATGGGAAACGACCACCCCCGCCTCCCCATGCGCGGCCATGGAATTGCAGAGATGCCTTTGTAGCACAGGAAACCATGTCCTGAGTCTCACGCTGTCAGACATGGTGCCCCAGGCTACGGGCAAAGTCCAGCAATGGGCCGCCGCCATGGTACTTTTGGAGGAGAGGGGCTTTTTTGTTCCGCCTTGTTTCAGAATTGCATTGTCTGGAGACATCTCAGATGTACGAGGTGAGTTGTTTCATTGATTTGGGCTTCAGGCAAGCGGCCACTCAAAAGCGAAAGCACTATCTATGTTTGCGCGGTGACGAAACCGGACATCTCCGAAAGGCACCAGAGGGTGCCCTTAAATGGTTGATTTCCTTTCGGGTTCTCTTCAAGTACCAACCTTCGCTGAAAGGGTAAATGGAGTATCCAAAAGGAAACAAATGGGGTACTCGTTTGGCTTGCCAACACTGAGCTCCACTATTGTGCGAAACTTGTCGCTTGTCAGGAGGCACACACTCGGCAGCTGGGCAACTCGTGGCTGCTCAATGCGGCGCCTTTGCGAGCACTAACTAGCTCCAAGGGGTACGTCGCATTCTCGGCTGGTTTGGGATAAACACCATGGATCTTCATTTCCGGGTCTCACCCATGATGGTTTTTGGGGTCCCATGGCTGGGTTTCAAGCCCCGGGAAGCAAGAATCGTGAGAACCAAAGTGTACATTGGCTGCGCAAGAAGATTCACGCGTGAAGCCCCGGAAGGTTCCTAAGGGCATGTAGTGGCGACCCCACCACTTTGTGTTCGGACCCAAGCCATCCAGGTGTTGCATCAATTGAGCCAGCTTGAGCGCGTATGGTCCGACAAGTCGTTCTGGATATGTCTGCCATGTTGAAGCTTTCCTTAGGTGATTCCTGAGACTTGCAGTACCCATTCATGGTTGGCATTGATTATGTTTTTCTGCAATTGAGGGACCCCACAAAAATGCAGCCTCGGCCTTCCTGCAAAACAATCTCAAAGAGGTGCCTCAAGCAAAATGCAAAATGCCCCCATCTCAACGGTGCGTTGGATGGTTGTATTGACTCGTTGGCGGGCCATGAATTTGCGATGCTTGAGGTTTCTCGGGCTGCAGCTTGCTGCAAGCCCTATGGCAAGTGGGAAACCAGACGTCCCTGCTTGGTTTGAATCCTATCTAGGAAAGCAACTTGGGGATCTCGCAAGCGGGGGGTCCAGCCCGAGCAATCAGCATCCCCTGCCCTTATTCTCAACATGGCTTGGCAGCATCCGTCCCTTTTGGAGACGATGTTTTCGCTGGAAAAGGAACTGTGCACCAAGCCCCAAGCCATGTTTGGGATGTCTTGCCATGTTCACCGAATATTGGCCAGAATCAAGCATCTGATGTTCAGTTCAGTCAAAAGCTGATGAATCCATGGACCGATCGGATTGAGGCGGTGGACGGCTGCAGTCGCGCCTTCCAGTGGCAGGCAAGTGTTCGACTCCTGAGCTGATTCGTTTTTTGTGTCCGTTCGCCCTTTCGGTTTGCAAAAGGAAAACTGAGAGGCACCCAGTTGTTGTTTGGGGGGGGTCGAAAGCAGATTCCAACCTCAATCTCAAAGTCCAACTTGTTTGGTGTGGTCGGGCCCCAAGAGTCGACCCCAAAACGGGTTCCAAGTCAAATATTCTTTTCCAGGACCGGGTCACCGGGCAATCGCCGCGCAACTGGGAAAAGGGAGCCCCCGTCTTATTAGGCTCCTACGTGTTGACAGAGATTGGCTAAACAAGGCCGCAACATGCAGCATGCTTTGCCCTCCGACCAAAAACACCATATATATATTTTATTTGAAAAATATAAAGCACTCCTTTTGCAGGGACCTGTTGTGAAAATGGGGCAGGCAGCACCTGGGTTCACACGTCAACCTTCGGTATTAGATATGAACTATGTATACCGCATTCAATGCAGAACCTAGAAACGTGAGACTTAGCTGGGGGCAAAAGTCGAGGTAGATGCAAGCGAATGTCCTATCAGCTCGATGCTCTAGGACGCTAAGTCTAAGTATTTTAGGGGGGCCTTGTGTTAGGAAACACCCACGTGTAGCGGCATTGCCCTTCAAACAAGGGGATTAATGTGGAAGATGGACGGTTTCTCGATGTGCTAATGGCCAAAGAGCCCAACGAGAAAAGGCTTAAGGGGTTTACCCTCAGCTCGTCTCGTCTTCGGTGAGAGACTATATAGCCTGGCTGTCTCCTTCAGGGTACCGTCCCACGTTCACCAACATGGAACCCAAGAAAAGGCCTGTTCCAGATTCTATTTGCTGCAGGGGGCAGGTGTGTGTTTGACCTGGCCAACGGGGATTGGCCCCAAAGGTTTCTCGGGTGTAGGCCTTAATATTTGTTCAACACTGGGAGCCCTTTGTACAGAGAAGCACATATGAATCCGAAAAGTAACCATTTGGAGGGGGCCTTAGCTTTGGCCAACCGAATTGTGGAGTGCAATTGCGTGTGTGGAATAGAAAGAACATCAGTTGGCGGCGCGCTTTGCCGCCCCATGGCCAGTTATTGCTGGCCTTGAAAGCAAACCACAACATGACCGACAAGAATCGTGATTTGGGCGAACCAGTTCGATGGTCGGGCGGAAACCAATCCGATGGTCGGGCGGAAGCGGCCCAAGAGGTGCGGAACATGATGGTGACGTGAAGGGTAGGAGGTGTGATCCTTCGACTGTACGAAGGTTCGTTTCGGGATGAAGCTTGAATATGAAGCCTGACATTTGAACGGGTCCCTAGTTTTCACACATACCCACTTTGCAAGATTGGTCATGCTAGGTTTATTGAAAGACCGCTCGAAGCATGTCGCTTGTCAGAAGACTAGCCTTCCAAGCTCAGCAACCCAGGTGAACAAGACAAATAATGACAGACATTGTTTTGATCGATGTAGTTGTGCCTCTTCCGGCTTTTGGGATTGTACCATCATTCTTTTGGTACGTGTTTGGAAGGGAACCAACTTGAGTCACCGGTCCCTCGCCCATCCCCGCGAAGGACACGTTACAGGGTTCAAGAGCTGTTCCCTTTGAGTCCTGTAAAGACCTTGTGGGAAAGATAGCAGGCCGCCCTCGCGGTGTTGCGGATGGGGTCGCTCCGCTCTTAGAGATGCCCGATGGGATAGCAACGAACCCAACCTGATGAAAGCGCATGTTGTGTGGATTTGGTTGTTTAAAGTGGATGTGTCTTAAAATAGGGGACACCTGCGAGGGTTAGTGTCCTTTTTGTTTATGTACTTCGAGGCAACAGCGGGTCGCTTATTCCCCTCTTGTATGCATAGATTTATTTAATTTGATTTACATATACAGAAGGCGATGTCATGGGAGCTGTGTTGTTTGCATGTAATAAAAGCAGCCAAACAAATACAAAGCCCAAAGCAAACAGAATCAGAGAGCGAAGAAAAACAAAAGAAAAACAACCGACAACAAGATTTCTGACCCCAAGGCACTTAGGGTTTGCAATATTGTTTTTTTGTTGGTTTTATTGCTTTTTTTGATTTCAGTCCAAACTGCAAGACTCCTCGAGAAAAAAAACAAGAAACACACCAAAAAGATTGCAGACCCCAAGAAGGGCCCAAGGGGCTTGGGGTCCGCAGTTTGTTTTTGATGGTTTTTGGGAGTTGTTTCGCAGTTTGGGCTGAAATAAATACAACCTTGATCAGAAAACAAAACAATATTGTATTTGTTTGCAAAAGCAACGAACATGTGTTTTTGGTGTTCATCCAAAACCTCGAGAAAACCAAACGAGAAAAAAAAAACAAAGAAGGCGACAAAACAAGATTGCAGACCCCAAAAGAATAAGCCCATGGGGGTTGGGCTCTGCAATATTGTTATTTGTTTGTTATTGGTTCTCTCGCTTTCTTTTTTAATAAAACCACATTTCAGCCGAAACTGCAAAACATCTCGAGAAGTCCCCAAAACAAGGAAACGAAAAGAAACACTATTGCAGATCCCAAGGAGTAGGGCCAAAGGGGTTGGGGTCTGCACTATCACTATTTGTTTGTCTTCGGTTTGTTAGAGTTCCTAGAATGCATTTGATATATCTGACAGTTTCCTAGCATAGGTCTAGCACACCTCCACTATAATTCGAATATATTTAGCATATCCCTAGCATATTGCAGCAGATTCCCAACGTATGCCTAATATTCCTCTAGAACAATTGACATACACCTACGTAGTGCAACCCTAATATAAGTCTACCGTGAAGCACGTGCCTAAAAAGCGTAATTCTATCTAATGATTGTTTTTGTATTACCTTACCTACTTATTATGTGTCGTTCATATCTCTGGCTCACACTTGATCTAGTAGTAGTGAATGTCTAGCAGCTTCAAAGCGTGCCCAGGAAGTATCCAGCTACTTATGCTATTCGACACGGCGACATCTTGTGCCTGCTTTCAAGCAACCACGATATCTGCAAAATCAAAAAACAGCAACATACCAATACCTGAAAGGCATGTTACTTGCAAAAACACAGCCCCCATGCGTTCCGGCCTGTATATTAATACATATATCATTGAACATACACACTAATGACACTGAAATATCAGCCGTTTGTTCACTGAAGGGAAAGATACTTTCCGAAGAGGGTGGGACTGAGGACGGCCTTGCACTGTTGCAATGCTGGGGGACCTTCCCGCTGAGGCACTGAAGAATTTGTTAATGTTGAAACGCATGTGGAAACATGAACTGTGTTTGCAATGCTTGACCATAATGGCGCATGCCATTTTGGCTCAAGCTTTGCCCTGGGTTCTTTGAACCCAATTTGTGTGAAAAAAGATTTGAGTTTGAACACCCCCGAACTAACCCCGATCAAGCAATGGCTTCCTCGGCAACCTCGGCAACCTCCGTCGAGCTGATTGAGGACCAGACGCTCACCGCGGAGGAGGTGGAAATGGCCAGCCAGGAGGCCCAGGAAATCCGCACACGCGAGGCGGCAGTGGCGGCCGGCCTGGTGTTGGACGAGCCCGAGGCCCCCCCGTCGGCTTCGGCTACCGACGTGATGAACGACCTCTCCAGTGCACTGGAGCGTCTCCGTGTGGCGTTTGCCACACCGACTTCCGGCTCGGGTGCCCCTGGCCGGAGGACAAGGACATGGAAGATGCGGACGCCACGGAGCGGGCTACTCCACCCACGAAGAGGCTGAAGGGTTTCGTGGCGGCTTCCCAGAAGACCACGGCTCATGTGAACAAACCGGTCTCCCTGGTGCCGGTGGAGGGCCGTCCCGGCTACTTCAAGTTAGTGGACCTCCCAGACCTTTTCCCGGTCCTTCCGGCATCGGCGGCCACGTTGCTGAGGGACGTCACGGTGGAGGAGGCGGTCTCCCTGTTCCACAAGTTTGTCGGGAAGAATCTCACGGAGGACTTGGTGATTCGCATCCTGGAGGCCTATGTTCCGATGAAGATCCAGATCCGGCAGGAGGAGGTCTGGGCCTCACAGTTCCAGAGGAACAAGGCGTGCATTGGCACCCAGCGGATGCACAGACTCGATGCGGCCACTCAGAGTACAAATTCATGTGCAAGGCATGCGGCACGGGGTGGCCGGAGGCAGCCAAGCAATGCTGGGTCTGCCCAGGCAAGGAGTTCGTCCCCTTCCAGGCACCCTCGGCTACCTATGAGGCGGACGGCGTCACTTACAACCTGCTCATTGTGGAGGGCAAGCCGACCTGGATCCAGCAGCGGAAAGGGGGAAGCCTGGGTGCCGCTGGCCCCGGTGGTACCCGGGCACAGGCAGACCGCAACCTGGTGGACGGCACGGTCCTGGGGAGAGCTCCTCCGAAAACGGACACGGCAGAGGAGATCACCATGGCAGACGTGGTCCCGCTCAACAGGCGGGTGGACATCCGGCAGGAGATCCTAGGAGCGGACCCAGCCAGGGCACTCCAGAAGGGCGGAAGCATCCCTTTCCCCCGCACCCACCGAGGCAGTGGGAAGACCCCCCAGAGGTGAGGATCCGCCCGGCAAGGGGCGTTCCAAGGGCGGGAAGAACCGCCAGGGCAAGCAGCAAGCCCAACAAAGGACACACGGAATCCCTAGGGGGGGCAAGCCCCACCTTCCCATGGATGCAAGACATCCCAGGCTCAGACTGAGGTGGACGCCACGTCCGGTGCCGGAGTCGTCAAAGCCGTCCCTCATCCTGCTGTACGCTGGGAAGGATGATGCGGGGGCCCTGGATGCTTACCTCCATGCCTACAACCCGGCCTTCTCGGAGTACATTTGGGCGGTGGACATCAGGCGAAAGGGTGGAGACCTTGGACAGGACATGCTGGGAGATGAGCCTTACTCTACGATGTGCTCCATGGCCATGGCGGGCAAGGTCGCCTTGGTGGGGGGCGGCCCCAACTGCAGGACGTGGAGCATCCTCAAACCGGGTGGCCCACCGCCGGTGAGGGGCAGAGCAGAGCAGACTCTGTGAGGCTTAGAGGACCTGGAGCCCCGGACACGGACAATGACAGCGTGCTCATGCTCCGGCAGATGTACCTGACCTCGCTGGTCTACAAGGGGCTAGGTCAGCTAACGGTCCCGCAGGTGGGCTCCTCCTTCTTGGAGCACCCAATGGACCCAATGGAGTGCAGCAAGAGCCCGAGCGCAGCGAGGTGCTCATCGATCTGGGTCACACGGGCCTACATTCAATGGGCGGACGCACTCCACCACTCCCTCATCAAGTTTGACGAGTGCCGCCTGGGCCAGGTGGTTGTGAAGTCCACGACATTGTCAACGGACCTTCCCCTTCACCATTGGCATGATCTGCGTTGCAACCACGGGGCTCACCCCAGGGGGGAAAAGCTCAACTCCAGTGACCTCAGCCGGTACCCAGAGCAGATGATGCAGGGTCTCGCAGCGGCCATCCTTTGCCGAGCGGGACCCGTCCTGGAGGCGCTGAGGCCGGGGGGCACGGTGCCCCAGGCGAACCCAACGACCCCCCCGAGGCGGCAGAGGGAACCTTCTCCCAGCACGCCGGGGGACAACAAGCGCCAGTCCCGGAGGTTGAAGGCTGGCCAACAAGCGTTGGCGGGACTAACCTTGGGCTCACTTCCGGTCTCGGCCTCGGACAATCCGGAGGTCCGGACACCGACACAGAGGACTGGCGAGACGGACGAACTTCGGGGGGGAACTCTTTCCCCTGAGCCATGGGCACACCACGGCATGGAAATCTCGGATCGGCCCACCATCCTGCCGATCACGAACGACCCCAATCTCTCCGACAAGGTCATGTACCTCCAGATGGCCTTCAAACAGCGCCCCCTAAGGGACGGAGGGGGAAAGCCCTCATTGGGACGGTTGGCCCCATGGACCCGGCCACTGTCCAAAGCAGCAGCGATGGGGGCCAAGATCTGTGTCCTCACTTCGCCATGGGGGGACAAGTCGCTCTCGCTGGGGGACGGGTCACAGCCCTTCCCGGAGGACCTGCTGGAGGATATCAGGGAGATTCTGGCGCCAGGGGCAGGCCGACCAGCTGACTGACGGCCAACCCTTCTTCCTGGACATCTTGCACAGCGTGGCGCTGAACATTCTGGAGCAAGGGGTCCCACTGGGGGTCACGGAGCAAGAAGGACCTTACCCAGACCTCATCTCTTACTACCCTCCCCGCGCCACACCAGCATATAATCAAACCACTCGCCAAAATCTATATAAAATGCTTCAAGTTATTCATTTTAAAGAATAACTTAAACCATTTCAATCAACCTCGCAACATTTATTGATATGTCCTTCACTTGATACATGGTCGCACCAAGAATAATAAATTTCTTTCTTCTTACATTTCAAACATCTAAACCACAACACGCCATTTACAATTTCTTTACTATCCGGTCGTTCCAATTTTTCACCGTTCAAACTTTTCTGTAAAAAATATTGATGGTTTAAAGATTTCTCGTGTTGAGACTTCTTACCTTTTTTAACTTCATAATCGCACAATTCGCAATAGTGAACCTGTTGCCGGTTTGCTTGTATTGTTGCTTTCCCTGCTTCGCTCTCTCTGTATTTCCTGTTCTTTTCCTGTACTCTGTCAGGGTGGTTCTCTCTGTATCTGCGTTGCTTCTCCCATACTTTTTCAGGATTGTTAATTCTCCATTGTCTTTTGGTTTCCTCTCTCTT